GCTGCCCATAGGTCCAACCCCAATACGGCTTCGCGCTTTTTTCAGTATTTTATTTCAAATTTTTGGTTTTACAAAAACCTAATTGCCTCGTATAATTTGGGGAAATTTTTAAATATACTTATATCAAATAAAAGAATTTTCAATTTTAACTTCTTAGAACCAGTAATAGAATATATACCTAATCAAGCTATTTTATTTACGTGATTGCCTAAATATCAGTTACAAGTCTTGAGAAAGAGTTTGTGTTAGAATGTCGAGATTATGTTAGTGTTAAGTGTATTTTTGTAACATCCTCCATTCGTATCAGTTATCCTTTGGTGGCGTGATTTACTCATTTAATTCTTAACTTGCCCAACTGGAATTCTTTAGTTCACGCAACTATCAGGTGGTATGTATTGAGTTTATGTTAGTATATATTCAGTAACTGGAATTCTTTAGTTCACGCAACTCTCATGTGGCATATATTGAGTTTATGTTAGTATATATTCAGTATATGTGCGCAAGTGGAATTCCTTAATTCAGGCAGCCGGTTTATATTGCGTTTATGTTAGTATATATTTAGTATATGTTGCAATGAAAAAAATGTCTTCCATCAAAAAATTATATCTTCATTTTTTTTTTCTTTTATACATAAAAGTATATATATAGTTTGAAAACATATTATAGCAAATTACTTAGTATAAAACCATACATATACACAACACCAACAAAAAAATTCAGTGTATGCTAAATTTTAATAGATTTTATACATAAAAATTATGTCTCGGGATAAATTTCTTCATCATATACCGAAAATATATTGGATATAAACCATACATATACAAAAAAAAAAAGAAAAATAAAATCATCAGTTTATTCTTTGTCAATATAAACCATACATACATATAAGGTAACCCTTATATTATACAGAACATATACTCCATATATACACAGAATATCCTGCACAAAATGAAAATTATATATCTACGCATCAAGCACATCAAGTCCTCAACAGCATTGGAAAATGCCTTTCTCGTCGAAATAGAACTTCAACTCTGAACGCCTTTCTCATGAGAAAAACCTCAAACACCTTCACCATAACATACACTAGACCGCTTGAGCTTCAATTAGCCTAAAAAATTACGAAGTTTGGTCAAAATTTAATAATTATTCGGACAAGAAATCCATTAACCGTCCAAATTTAACTCGTATTTCAAGCATAACTCAAGGGAGCGGACAGATTCATGCAATATTTTTGGAAATAGAAAAAAAAAACAAAAAAAAGGAAAAGCAACTCACATACTCCTAGATCGGTCCGCTCTCTTCGAGCTTAATAGTTAGGTCGGGCCAGGCCAGGTCCTCCGAACACTCTGGCTTTTAGACCACCGAGTGGCCCTATTTATTGATAAACAACGTCGTGCAATTGATGTGCTGGATATTCGAAAGGGTTACAAGCGTAGGAACTCGTGTCGAAAGGAGAGGACAACCACGTTGACGGTGGTCGGCGCCGCGGCGGTGCCCTGACAGAATCACCAAACGGAAATATAATAAACGGAAAGTGAAGGGATAAACCGGTTAGAGGGAAGATGGAGCGGTCAGAGAGGGAGGAGAACATGGCGGTGGGGATGGTTTTGGAGTGAGAATGAATTTTTTGTCCCATTGTTTAGGTAATTACAAATTTAATTTTAATTAAGGATCTCATTTGCATTTAATTTGCCCAAAAATAAGGTAATAACTGTTCCATCTCAATGTCAGGTAAAACTGAAATATTTTTCACTTGATTAGCCAGTCTTATAAATAAGAATATAAGGGAAATATAAGTGTAATAAAAATCATAAATGGCAGTAAGGGGTGCAAATTCCTCTATAATTTGAGAGCAACTCATAGGGTTGAGCATGACCGGTCGATTGGAGATCGGACAAGTCTAAAGTTGGGTAAATGTCATATCATTAGAATAGGGTTAACAACGAGTCGAGCTGAGACTATAGAATAATCTGACGGAAACTCGACTTGGTGTTAATGTGTATATATTGAAAGTTTGGCTTTAGATGTGATTCACACTATTAATGTTGAATAAGAATTCATGTTAGATTAAAGTTCTATGTTCTTTTTCTTTGCATTTAGATAAATGGTTAATCACGGAACATAAACATAAACAATTGATTCACAACCTAGATGAAAATTGAACAATCCATTGGAACGATTGTATTGTGAGCGGTAGTTGATCTTGACTGATTAATCACACTAGTACACATTGGTGTATTGAATGGATCCCAGAGATAAGCAGTTCGTTTTATATTGATCGGCGTAAACGAACTAGGCTACGACTAATTATTGCGTTCTCTTAACCTATAAGATATTAACAAAGACATGTATGTAGTAATTACCCATTTGATTCAGTAAGGTGAGATTTATTGATATAGACCAATAATTGTCTTGTTTGGGTAGTTATTCCTACATGACATGGCGTTCTGTTATAATATTTATGGTCACCATGTACTTCACAATGTTGAGGTTTGATAATGTCCCCGAAGTGAGTTCAGAATGATTATTATGTTAAATCCTACAGGTGGATTAAATTTCGGCATAATAATAATGATTAAATGGTGCTAGCTTCGGTTATAGTAATCGATTGATTTAATTATCAGTAATTAAATAAATTCACAGACATTATATATTAAACACTGAGAGGTAATCAGGTAGATATGTGGAGCTCAAATCGTAATTTGGGAATTAAATTGGGAGTATTTCAATAACACTACTTTAGTGGAATGACTGTATTATTCCTATTAGGTTTGGTAAGTTTGGCCTATAGTCTAATCCTAATAGGAGAAGCTCAATTTAATGCCTCCTTAGGGTCCATATTGAAGCCTATAAATGCATCTCTTATCTAGTCTTGCAAGACATAGCACACGTAGAGATATCCAGATTCTCCTTCCCACCAAGGGAGCTCTAGAGGTATTAGGTAATTCAATAGACGACCTTAGGATAGTCAAGCAATTGACCACCATCGGCCGTCAATCTCCACCGAGCAGCGCCACGCGAAACAACTCGAGTTAACCGGAGATGCCTCGACGGCCGATGCGACCTGCTCCATCGCAGCAACCGTGCGATGTCGTCTCTCCACTCCCGGAGACGACGCGTTGCACCCAATGACGCCATGTTGCTCATGTGATGTCGCGACCCCGACATCCTCGCGCCTGGCGTGCATACTCGCATCGACCCTGCACCATGCACCCACGAGATTCTCACAACCCGCTCGACACCAGGTGACCCAAGACACGCATCCTATCACCGAACGCGTCCCGCTTGCTCCCGTCCGCACGCAGCGACCTACGTAGACCCCTGAAGGCACGTCCGGCTACCCAACAGACTTTGTGATCAAACGATCTCCTCCATAGAAAATCTACAATGTCTAAGAGTCGGTAAAATAATAAACTATGAATCTCCTACTCTTACCTACAGAGCCACTGCATATAGGTTTTTTGTAGTTATAATTTATAACTTGCACATTAACAGTGATCCTTAAGGATCCCAACACCTAGAACTGGAGAGGTCGAATCGATTGGTAATACCAAACGACATATTTTTGTTCAACAAAGACCAAAATAGTCAGAGAGAACAGAGTTGTTTAGCTCGGTTATGTCTAAAATGGATAACTAAGGAGGTAAATAGTGTGAGCGCATCAGATAAATAGTATTGTGAATGCGATTGGATAAAAAGAACATGTGTGTAACAGAATTTATTGGGCAATAAGATTGGGTAGTTTGGGCACTCGCATAGCAAGATTGGATAAATTTGAGGCAACCCCACTTGGGCAGCTAATGACTCTGTATAAAGATGAGTTATGATCATCATGTTCTTCTATTGGTCATTCTAAGTTATTATACATCATACACTTCCACCCTCGTAAATTGACTTGAGTGTTAGTGTTTCCCCAGCGTTGTTTTGCAGGTCATTCCAGCGGTTTAATGACAGTTTAAAGGATGTCAGATCGGATCAAGGTTGTTTTACACACTATTTTTTCGTCGTTTGCGGGAACATCTATTAAAAAAACATTAAAATACCAGCCATAGTGAGCGATGATCCCAGGAAAAACCTAGAAACCAACTTTGACGAGGCATGGGTGTCCAGTCGCCCGCTGGGAGCGAGCCTGCCCGGGATTCTTTAAGCCCACTGTATAAAGATGAGTTATGATAATCATCTTCTTCTATTGGTCATTCTAAGTTATTATACATCATACACTTCCACCCTCGTAAATTGACTTGAGTGTTATTGTTTCCCCAGCGTTGTTTTGCAGGTCATTCCAGCGGTTCAATGACAGTTTAAAGGATGTCAGATCGGATCGAGGTTGTTTTACACACCATTTTTCGTCGTTTGCGAGAACATCTATTAAAAAACATTAAAATACCAGCCATAGTGAGCGATGATCCCAGGAAAAACCTGAAAACCAACTTTGACGAGGCATGGGTGTCCAGTCGCCCGCTAGGAGCGAGCCTGCCCGGGATTCTTTAAGCGCATTTTGACGTTGATCACTCGACTCTCAACCTCTCGGGTATTGGAGTTTCTGCAGTGTTCCTTGTTGTAACCAATTATCCAATTACTCAACCAGAGGGCATATTAGGCACTGAAGTGGTATCAGTACTTTAGGCACAACAAGATCCACCTCAGGAGGGCAAGAGAAGATCACCGACAACAGTATGATATATTCCAGTAAACGAGGAGGTCATGATGCTCATAAAGGATAAGCTCTATTGAATGATAGCAGAGGTCATTGCAGCTATGTGTGCTCAACCACAAGTGTTGAGTACGGTGAACCTAACTATGCTGACAAGGAACTCAGCACGACCCGGCAGTTGAGTGGATGATTGCTAAAAAAAAGAGTCATAAGCCAAGGTAGAAGAAAAGCGAGCTAGTAGAGTGCGAGGAAATCGTTTTACTCAGGAGGTGCTTGAGGTAGAATTATCTTGTGGTTTTCGAGAACTCAGTGTCACATATGATGAGTTTACTGATCAACCCCTCATATATGGATACATTGATCAGAAAGGTGCAGAGCGTTTTAAGCGACCTTCCGAGAGAGGGGGGGGGGGCAGGATTGGTACCACCAGCTCACCCCAGAGTTAGTCAAGGATTTTTAACAGTATTCCTCAACCAGTTTGTTAGATTTAGGTTTAATGATTAGTCTTACTTGACATTTATGGCGATACATCAGCATGAGAGCCAGTCTTTGAGGAGTTATGTAGCTCGTATACACAAGTATGTGTAGACATACCCTCAGCTTCTAAGAAGGTCAAGGCAAGAGGGCTGACGAGAGGATTGGGAGAAGACCCATGTAGGAGCTCATTGGCCTAGAAACTGACATTAACTTAATGATGATGTTCCGCAGAGGTGTACTACATATATTTATGTGAAAAAGGTTGAGGTTGAATTTGCAAAGTGTTGATAGCAACAATTGCATCGCCCAAAGAAACGACACCACGTGGAATATAGAAGATAGTTAATAGAAGGAGTGGTTGAAGCACGAGGACCGACTTGGTGAGTAGCCGAACCGACTTCAATAGGGGGACCGACGTCAATAACAGCGAGGAACCCCTAGGAGCCGATGTCTTAATTTTTTTAGGAAAAAGCAAACTCCCTTAATAAGAATAATAATAAAAAAATAAAAAGAACGAAGTCGAGTACTTGAAGTGCAATTCAGCTTGAGCATATGTGAATGTTGCATGGAGTTTTGATGAGAATGATTGATGTTGTGCTGATTTTAAATAGGTGTTGATATATTCGAGTAGTTTATATGCTCGAGGATGTGATTGTTTATTTGAACCATTCTTTTCTAATATTTTTCCTTCCCTGATGCCTACACTACAACCCGAAAGTCCTCTTGATTTACAGTTCATGACCTTTGGTTGTTTTAGAGTATGAATAGACGATAAGCAAGCTTATGTTGATGCATGATGATCGACCAATTTGAGCGTCCCAGTTTTATATTCATGAAAAAAACCGAGTGAGGCATATACATATTATATTTCCGTGCTCGAGAGTTTGTCTTTTCAAAATGTTGCATTCAAGTGTAATTGAGGTATGCGTGATTGGTCATTGGAAGTTTCCTCAGCTGAGTTGATTAATTTGAGACTTGTCTTGTTTGAAACTGTTATCCATGCTCGTTTGTTTGTTTTCGTTTCTTTTTTCTTTTCTTTTTGTTCGGGACGAACAAAGGTCTTTGTGTGGGGGAGTTGTTTGTCCCATTTTTGTTGCGTTTTTCGTTGTTATTTTTCCTTTATTTTTAGGTCTTTTAGTTGGTTTTTAGGTTGTTTTGTCGTTTATTGCGTATTTCGCTCTATTTTGGTTTTTCATGTATTTTTCGGTCATTTTTCCGGTTGTTTGTCGTTGTTGGTGTGCAGGATGGAAGATTCGAGAGGATTTATTTCTCTTAGTAAATGGACCGGGTGGACATCATTAGATACAACGCCTCGATGGCAATACACAAGAAAACACATAATTAAATTTCGTTTCCAAACGAGCTCGCACGAACCTGAAAAGCTAAGTAAGATAACTAGTCACAAGCTCGCCAGGCCTTCGAACGTGAACAACCTCTTCTTCTCATGCCGGCACTTCACATTACCAGCATCACAATGCACATAATGCTCCAGATTTCCGAGCACCACCACGCCACTGCAACAGAACCTTCGTCTC